TTATAAAGCAGAATGTGACCTGCGCACTCACTTCCCTTCACAGGCCTTGTTCCGAATGATTTCTGAAGTAGCTTTGCGGTATCCCTAGGAATTGTCTCTCCCTTGAAATTGTCTCTTCCAAAGAAAAACAAGCCCGTGCAGCTCCTGCCATCAAGTTTTTACTATATCGTACTCCTAGAAGCCTAGGACATGCGGATCTGAAACTACTGGAGAAAGTTTAAGAAAACATCCTATAAGAAAACTCAAGCTATCTTAACAAATATTGCTTTAAACATCAGGGAATCTCCGCACTTCCGAGACACAAGGTCTGGCCTAGTGAGGAATCTGGCTGGGTGACTAAGCACTTCAGACCTCACACGTTAACAGTGAAGTGACGTCTTACCACAAACATCTCAACCTGTTAAAATAAGCCAAGGTGGACCTCGAGAAAGCACTGCCGGCTCTGCTTTAGTGCCTAAAATGTCACAGTATTACTAAAAGAAGAAAGAAATCTTATCTTCCCTTAAAAGCAGTTGTCATGCCATACACACTTAACAGAAAAATCCTTGAAAATATATATCATCAGAGGGAATGAAGGTTAAGGCACTGAGCACGCATGAGTGTTCTTTGGGCTGAGCTCAGTCGACTTCTTCCACGCGCAACATGGCGTGATCTCCTTCAAGAGGCCGCATCTCCTCGTTAACAGCAGCAGTGGTGTCGCTGGCGGTGGGGTCATCCTCATCAATACCTAGACTTGGCTTGATCATCCTGTAAGCCCTGTTCGCGTGTGTCTGCAGGTCTTCCAGGCTGATGCCAGAGGACAGCAGTGCGGTTTCGTACAGCAGGATGACCAGGTCCTTCACAGACTTGTCCTTCTTATCGGCCTCGGCCTTTTCCCTGACAAGCTCCATAAAGGAGTGCTCAGGGTTTATCTCCAGGTGTTTCTTTGCCGCCGCGTAACCCATCGTGGAGTCGTTTCTCAGGGCTCAGGCTTTCATGATCCTTTCCATGTTTGCTGTCCAGCCATATGTGCTTGTGACAATACAGCGTGGGAACATCACTAATCGGTTTGACACGAACACTTTTTTAACCTTTTTCTCCAAGATGTCTTTCATGATCTTGCACAGGTTTTCAAACTTTGTCTTTTTCTCTTCCTATTTTTTTTTTTTTTTTTCCTCCTCTTCATTTTCTGGAAGTTCCAAGCCCTCTTTGGTAACTGACACTAAAGTTTTCCCCTCAGATTCCTTCAGCTGCTGGACACAGTACTCATCGATGGGCTCGATCGTGTAGATCACTTCTCTGCCGAGCTTCCAGAGCCGTTCCACGGCTGAGATAGCTGCCTGGTCCTTGGTTTCACCTGCGATGGAATAGATGTGCTTCTGGTTCTCCTTCATCCTGGTGCAATAGTCCTTGAGAGAAACCGTCTCACCCCCAGAAGCAGATGTGTAGTAGTGTAGCAGTTCTGAAAGCTTTTTCCGATTTTGAGTCTTCATGTATCCCAAGCTTTTTTTTCTTAGAAAACTGCTCATAGGACTTTTTGTAGTTCTCCTTATCCTCTGCCAGTTTAGTGAACAATTGTAAGCACTTTTTTTTTTTTTTACCAAATTCTTTCTGAAGATGTAAGCACTGTTTGTTGAACACTTATTAAAATGCCTCTTACTATGGTTTGTGTCAGTGATGGTCCTTTCTCTGGAGAAACTTCGCCTTCTAGAACGAGAACTAGACAACCACACACACAGGAAGATGGTAGCGTCCAGTGCCTGCGCTATGAAAGATACTTGCACAGGCTAGTTCGGGTGCGCAGATAGCGAACCCCAAATCAGAACAGAGAGTCGGAGAGGCTGCGGTTCAGATGAGCCAGGGACACTCCCCCGTGGCCGCTGCTGATGTGGAAAATCCGCAGGGCAGATAGACTCATGACACTGCATTATCATCGCCTAGAGAGACCGGGGGGAGCTTTTAATTCTTTTTTTTTTTTTTAATTTAAAAATACGTTTAGTCGAATAATCTCCATGTCAAAGCCTGTGTACAACATGGGTCGGTCAGGGGGAAGAGCAAAGCTGGAAGCAGAGTGCGCCTCCGGTGAGGGTGCACCGTCCGCGCAGAGCTCAGCACAGCCTCGGAGGCCCGCGAAGGCAGGCCCGGACCCACAGCGACTGGCAAGAGCCTCCAGAACACTAAGGACTGAGCTCCCAGCGACTCTCTGGTAACTTCAGGAATACCAGCGCTAAGACAGATTTCTGTGTGGACTTCAGAGAATGCCAGAAAATGCACTGAATGTGAATTGCAAAGAGGGTATTACGGTGCACATTGTTCCTGTGAAACCTGTTTTTTCTTCAGCTACCCATAAATTTTTTTCCCACACTTTTCCACACTTTTCATAGGTGTGTTGTCTCTTATTGTGTTTCCAAGGATCATAACAACAGTATTGAGGAATTTGTTTCCCTTTATAGTTTCTGTTTCTTCTGAGAAGCTTTTTCACTGTTTTATGTGTTTTGTTCTCCATTTTTCAAGGTCAGAGTCAGATTCTAAGGACGGAATCTCTTTCCTGAAGTTATAGGACTAACTTTCCGCACCTGTGGGCGAATGAGGTGAGAAGACTGGGCGTCTGCATCTGACCTGTGTGCTCAGTGGAGAAGGTCGCTGGCTCCTCTGGAGATGTCATGGTGCGCTAACTGGTGTGGAGGATGAGTCTTCACCAGTCTCCATCCCTTGACTTTCCTTTCCACCTGTATTCCCAGACGAGGGCTCTTCTAGGCTGCTTCATGTCTCACGGTTACCAGCTGTTATGGTTGTGTCTATCCGTCCCAGCACATCCTCATGCGATCGCGGGAGCTTTTGGGAGGTGGCTGAATCCAGAATGTGTGGTGCTGGGATAAAGGGTGGATGAGGCAGAAGGATGGCTGTGAGTGCTACCAGGAGAGCGCAGGCACAGCTGAACTGCACAGGGAGACCCTGTCTCGAAAAGGGGCGTGGTTCATGCATCACTCCACTGATTGGTTTTGGATAGTTCTGGGTTGGATTAAGGGTGTGCGTGTTACATCTGCCCTAGGGCAGGTAGCCTATATACAATACAAGGGACAGAAAGAGTCTTGTCTCCTCTCCATGTTACTTTTGCTGTCTTCTGCCACCATGAATGGTTGACCCTTGCTGTGTGCCACTGTGGCTTGGAGCCAGCTAGATATGGACTGAAACCTCTAAAAACTGTGAGCTAAATAAACCTTCCCTCCTTTAACTTTGGGTGTTGGGTATTTTGCCTCAGCAAGCAGAAGAGTAGCTCATACTCCATCATTATATTTTACCTTCCTTAGGCTGCAGTCATTTACCATTGGTCAGTTATCATTTATGTTCTTGCTTTCAAACTTCTATTGTTTTTCTCCACTCATGTTCTCTTTGTCCTTGTGGTTGAAGCTAAATAAAGCCATTCTAATTGGCATGGCTCTAGAAAGAAAGTAAATTCCTGTATTTGGTCTGTTCTTCCACTTGCATCTGAGGCTCCTCCTTTTCTGTAGGACACTGTGCCTGAGTTCATAATAATCACAGGCAAGAGGTGCTGTTGTTGCACTCATTTCACCTGTCATGGAACAGAATTTCAGAGAGGGTAGATGCCTAAAAATGCAGCAAGTGGTGCAGCTGGAGCTCGTAAGAGAGTCTCAGAGCTGCAGACTGCATAATACAGGCTTTGAGGTTTCTTCTGGACTTGCATTCCTTTTATTTCATGTCTGTCTGTCTGTATGTATGTACTGGGGATTGAACTCAGGACCTTGCACTTGCCAGGAAGGCGTTGTACTACTGAGCCATCTCTCCAGCCCTTGCCTTTGCTTTTTTAAGAGCTAATACTGATTCCAGACTCAGTGTTAGGGACTGACAGTGAGGCTCAGTCCGAGGATACTTGGGGGCAAAGGCTGTGCTGGCTGTGTTCTGTACCAAGCTGGCTTCCAGAGCAGCTCCGCTAGGATGCCCTGCACACTTCTGGTAGAAGTTCTTCTTTGTGGTTTTAGAAACTTGACTGAGTTACATTTTTATGTTCTGTTTTGGTATTTGACTAATTTTGAAATGCAAGCCACCTGCTGTGAAAGGAAGGCAGGGGAGGGAGCGTAACAGAGATGTAAGCATGGTGGGCTTTACGGGCAAGAGAACACTTTTATTGGCTTGTTTTTAGAAATTATATATCTAACAGCTGTTTTGCAAAATAAGAGAGAAGCTTCCATACTGTTGAAAAAGGTGCACAGGTAATTGATTTCAAAGTAAAACATGTAACCCTATTTGACCGTATATGGCATCGCTAAGTTAATTCATTATGTAATATATTGACCATCATCATAGCCTGCTCATCAAATTTATTAATTTGTGAAATGTAAATATGAATCGACAATACCAATTTTCTTGAAAAGACTGTGAAATTGACTTTGTGGAAGTCAGTATGTAGCATAATATATATTATGTTATACACATAATGTACACACATATATAGATATACATACATATATCTGAAATAATGCATGAGATATATATGACCTATTCTAGAAATGATGAGCATCAGTAAAATATATAAAGAATTAATCTTTGGAGAGCTCATATTTAGAAAGAAAAGGATAAAGTTTGGAGTGGAGAAAGGTTCTTGACTACCCTGTAAAATATAAAAGTGACACGAGAGAACTAGAAAGTCCTGTCTCTTCCAGCGATGCTGTCAATGATACATAAACCTGTCACGTGGCAAGCAGTTCGCTGTAGTGTCCTGTCATGGGTGAGTGCTTGTGTTTCGCTCAGGTCCATAGGTTGAGATGCTGACACCCAGTGGTGTGGGTGTGGGTGGTGGTGACCCTATGGTATGGCTGATTGACCCTCGTGGGCTAATTCTGTCGGTGAATGTCCTGAAAGGTTCACCATCACTGGTGTAGGATGTAGGTGTTTGGGAGGTACATTACAGTATCAAAGAAGTAGAAGCCTCAGAGTGGGGTTGGGGCTTTATACAAAAAGGAAGAGTCTCAGTTATTTCCTTCCTTACTGAGACGTGATACCCAGCAACTACAACCCAAAGGAATTACTCTGGCCTCCACTTCCTAAAGGTTTCCTTCCATAGTGGGTGGTCTCCAAGGCAGGGCAGAGGACAGTTAATTGCTCCATGCATGCATGGCTGTCAGGAAGGAGAGTGGGATGAGGGGAAGAGGAGGAAGAGGGGGAGAGGAGGGGGAGGAGGGACAGTGCAGTTCAGGCCACGCCCACAGAAACCCACCTTATTCCACTGGGCTTCCCCTCCTAACCCCACATCCAGCTTCAAACCCACCGGAGAATCCAACCAGTGGCAAGTGTCCCATCCCCACGATCCAGTCATGTTTGATAAGCTGCAGCTGCCTTTGGGGGGTGGGGGTGGGGGACATGCATCCAACCAGACCGCTGAGCTCAGATGTTTAGCTCCAGAACAGGGAGAAAGTAAATTTCCAACGTGGAAGCCAAGCAGCCTGTGGTATTTCATTATAGCACTGCTCAACCTTGCGCTGGCTTGTGGAACCGGGGATTGAACTCAGGTCCTTGCACTTGCCAGGGAAGCGCTTATTCCACTGAGCCATCTCCCCCGCCCCTGTACCTCCTTTAAAGCCTCAGGCCATCCCCGGCTCTCTCAGGGCACTCCTCCTTCAGCATAAAACCTATCCTGAGGAGATATGTGACTCACTTCCTGGGTTCAGCACTCTGCTGCCTGTCTGTCCTACTTTTTGAAGT